AATTGGTTATGTACAATGCTAGGAAATGGCACAACGTTACTTATGTACAAGGCCACGAGTTGTAAATTTCCCATATTGTTTAGAGTGGTGTTGTCATTTGTGTTTGCAGTGACTTGTCATTTTCAAAACTAACTGAAGGTGAGGTGAGATATATATGGGTTGTCTGTGTGTTGTTTTGGGTGGGAAATTGGCTTATGTCTGTATTCCAAGATTCCTATTGCGGGTTGCTTGTTTCTGTTCCATATTTGGTTGGATCTAACTGAAGGGTTTTTTTGCGGTGTGGTTTATCAACTAATGATGTGTTTCGCTTCGTATTGATTTGTTATGACTTGTGTCTGTAAATTAGTATTATATTTCGAGTAAAATACGAATTTTGTCCAAGTGGGTTTGCAAAATTACATACCAGCACATGCATTTTGTATATAATCCAAGTGGCAGTTAATTTTGGGTGTTACTTGGAGAAAGTAACCCAACGAACTCGTTACTTTATCTCCATGCCGATTGGTATATGAATTACGAGTTACGAACAGGAGTTGTGAAATTATTTAATGTTTACTATGGAAGTATGGGTTTATTGTTAGTAAAATTATGGTGGGCCTATATCGACAGCAACGAAGCAGTAATTTAAAGTTGACAAGTTCAAGAAGAAAATCAAGCAATTGTAGTATTGGTTCAAATGCCTGAAATGGATGAAAACTTCTTTCGATGAACTGATGATAACAAAGTAGAAAGTAACAAAGTAGAAAGTAGAAAGTAAGTTGTTGTGTTGTTGTGTTGTTTGTAACAACGTAGAAAGTAGAAGGGAAAAAACTACACAGAAGTTACAATGTAGAAAGTAAGTTGCCACCTGTCGAAGTGCATATAATTGAAGTTACCACCTGTGCCCAGGTCCTTTTAGCCTTTCCTCGACAGATACAGACTCCCAATTCGTTCATGTTTCCTCTTGGAGGGTAGCCACTAAATCCATGAGCACTGCCAGTAACTGCTCCAGTGTGTAAGTCAGGTCGCATGCAAGATTCAATGTTAGTTGAATGGAGCAGCTGTTGGGAGGATGTGGGAAAAATAGGTGCAAAGAGGATTTTTTAATCTAATATCCAATCAGAATGTAGCTGAAAATATGAGTAAAATGTTTTTTAAAAAAATGTAGTTCCCATTTTTTTGATTATAAACCCGAGATGTATATTTTGTTTTTGATATAAATAAGTTGTGTATTTTGGTTACGTAAAATGTAGGACAATAATTGTGTTTAAGTCATTACAATACAGAAAAAGGTTATTTCAAACATATTTTCAAGTTTACCGACATTGAATATATTTTGATTAAATTACAGGAAAAATTCAATATTTGCCAGAGTTTAATGATTCAAAGTCAGGCAGTAACAGTGAGTGGCCAAGTGTTGTGGTTCAGTGGCCTAGTTTGCAAGGATTGTGGTTGTGTTTGGTGGACAATAATTGGCCCAGTTTGCAAGGATTGTGGTTGTGTTTGGTGGACAATATTCTATCGATTTTTGTCTCATAATGATGAGGGACATGCCCCACAATGGTAAAAAGGAAGGTCGACAGGGAAGAGTTAATATTTGGCAGAGTGGACTTGAAGATTCGAAGTCAGGGGGCAGTTACAGTCGCAGTTATGGTGTAGACGTGTGGGATCATGCAATGATGGGCCACAAAAACAGTATACGGATATCGAAATCAACGATCTCCCTTCTAGGCTTTCCAAGTATACTAAACCTCTGCTTCTATCTGTCGATCTCCCTTTTCTTGTGTTTATTTCATGGCCACCAACTGTTTCAAGCTTCTATCGACAGAGCAAGGCTCCTACTTTGTCTCATGCTTCCGCCTGAAAGTGTGCCCACTAACTCATAATGATGAGGGACATGCCCCACAATGGTGAAAAGAAAGGTCGACAGGGAAGAGTCAATATTTGGCAGAGGCGACTTGAAGATTCGAAGTTAGGGGGCAGTTACAGCGGCAGTTATGGTGTAGATGTATGGGATCATGCAATGATGGGCCACAAAAACAGTATACGAATATCAAAACCAACGATCTCCCTTCTAGGCTTTCCAAGTATACTAAATCTCCACTTCTATCTGTCGATCTCCCTTTTCTTGTGTTTACTTCATGGCCACCAACTGTTTGGAACTTCTGTCGACGAAGCAAGGCTCCTGCTTTGTCTCATGCTTCCTCCTGAAAGTGTGCCCACTAACTCCATGACTGGTGCTAAAAACTTCCCCCATTACTCCTAGGTGACCCATATGTAGAGAGCCCACTTTCAAGTGCTGGACATTCCTTCAGACTTGGCCACGTGTCCTCGATTAAGTGGACCATCTGTCGACAGAGACTGGCAAAACTTGGTGCAAACAATGGCCCCCTTGTTCAAGTTAAATATCATATGAATTAACCTTGCGGAAGTTATTGAGACCCCCTCCAATCACCACCTGCACCACCACCCCACCCCCCCACACACACGTGGGGGCTGGTGATTGCAGTGAGAAGGAAAAAAAAAGAAATTTTTTTTTAAAAAACTGGCCAATCAGAGAGAGAAGGGGTCATGGGGGTGCCCCCCTTGTGGGGGTCCAAGTCATATGATATTGAACTTCAACAAGGGGGCCTAATAGCAAATTTCTTAATACGGGCCCAAAACAAACATAAACTACAGCCCAATATAAGAGCATTTAAATATACTGGCCCCATCATAAGCTATAAAAGACTCACCTTTTCAACTTCAAACCACTTCATTTCCCTCTGATTCGAACTCCCCAGACTGTACTCCTTCTTCTCAACCATTGCCGTTCAAAACCAGAGCACCACAAAACCCTAAGCCATGGCGCCGAAAAAATCTCAACCATCTCCATCTGAGGAGAACAATGAAGACCTACTCCGCTTCCCAGACCCTATCAGAGCACGTATCGCTCTCTAAAATTTGCTGCAACCCTATTGCTCAGCACAAGCTCTGTCGCTAAGGCTACTCTAGGCCCTACCTTCGCGTCTTACTTCCCAGACGAGCTAGCTCCATACTATCCCCTTGGTAATGGTGAGAACCTTCTTGTCAACCAAGCTGGACTCAAGTGGACTAACTAGAATGTCAGCAAAAACCCACTCAGAGGGTGGAGGTCACCAGACTCTGATTGGCGAAGCTGGGCCAGGAGAATTGAAGGTCACGACGCTGAAGTATGGAAGCACCAGGGCATTGCTGAAGTAATTAGACTATCGACTAAAATTTATGACGTGGAGAAAGGGCTGATTGCTGCTGCTGCATGCTTTTGGTCGCAATCTAGTAACTCCCTACTCCTCAATTTTGGTATGATTTCCCCTACCATCTTAGATGTAGCTCACTTGACTGGTCTCCCAATCTTGGGCAATCCAATTCATGCTCTCCTTGAGCCTCCAAAAGTGACATTTACTTTAAACACTGACATGTGCTATACAGATTTTGCCAAAAAATACCAAGGCAAGCCTGGTTCCCCTATCGATGACAAAGAAAGAACTGCTTTTTACTTACTTTGGCTTTGTGAGTTTCTTTTTTGTGTCCCTGGGTACAAGATCACGAAAGAATACCTCCCCCTTGCCTTGTGTATGCAAGACGGCCAACTTATGGCTTTAGCCCCTTATCTTCTTGCCACCCTTTACAAGGCCCTATTTTCCTTTGTCGACAAGAAGATTTCTGGCAACTGTGGTGGCCCCTTCTGGCTCTTCAGAGAGGGAGAGAAGACTCTAGGCCAAAGTGGAGGGAATTGAGGCTCTTGTTCCCCCACAAAATATCCCCCGAATATAGATATTTTCTGGGGGAAACAGTTGTACAGCTGTAAAGTGTGCAGAGAGAGGAACATGGCCAGCCCATTATTGGACTTGGATGTGGCCGACCGGCCACCCCCCCTAGCCGGCCGGCCAAGGGTCAAAAGGGCCAAGTGGCTTTAGTGGCCGGCCACCACATATTGGTGGCCACCTAGGTCCCCTCTTCACAACCCTGTGGTTAGAATTTGGAAACTCTAAAACAGGAGAGAGAACAAGCCATTTTGAGGAGGGGTTCAAAGGTTCAAATGGAATTAATGGCCGGCCATAAACTTTTAGGGTCCTCCCATGTGTGTACATCATAAATATGTGGTTCAAAGTTCAAGAAAGTGGTCCAAGGGTGTTCAACATTGGCTCGGAAGGAGGGGTTCAAAAGGGTCAAGAAACATTAGTGGCCGGCCATGAACTTTTAGGGTCCTCCCATGTGTGTACATCACAAATATGTGGTTTGGGTTTGAAGAAAATGGCTCCAAGGTGTTCAACATTGGCCCGGAAGTGCGAAAAACGGGTGTCGGAGGGCGAAAATGGAACATAACTGGTTGCCAAGATAATTGCTGGCCTTCCACCCTCCAGTGACCTCCTTGGTGATGAAACAGAGGCACCTGCCAAAAATGAACGAAAAGCAATGCAAAATGAATGCTCGGGGCCAAAACACGCAGTTCGGGGTCCCGAAAATGGGCTGCCAAGCACCGAAAGTGGCGTTCGACCACGAAGTGGATTTCTCAAGCCCCAGTGTCCCTTGAAAGGGAGAAAATAAGATGTATGCCAAAATTTAGAGCAAACGGAGATGGTTAAGCGATCCCGAACCGAGGCACAATCCCCTATTGGTACTTCCTTTGGTCCAAACTACCCTGACCTCAACATCCATTTTTCTCCACAAAATGTAGCCCACGGCCACTGAGAGATGGTCTACGGGACCTCTCCCTCCCCTCAGGAAAAGAAACAGAGAAAACCGAGTCTGGTTCGCAAACCGAGGCAAGGCACAGAAGAGGGTTCGGAAGTCCGGAGGCAGGGCTCGCAGCCAAGACTCTGAAACTTCTGAACGAGCACATTATGCAATATCACCAAGTGCTCAACTGGTGACGTCTGAGTCTCAAGGTCGGTCAAAAATGGGGTGTCTACACTGCTTCACAGTCTTCGCCACAGCAATCCACATAGTCTGCATCACAACATCCTTCCACTTCTCCTCAGCACATTGTCCCTTCTGTCTCTAGCCCTCAACCATCACCATCCAACCCCTCCAATTCCCAAATGTCAAACAAAGAATCACAGAGGATTGAATTTGACATTTCAATCAACAGCCAATCCTCTCCAACAGATGACAACACAAAATCCCCTCAACCAGAAGTTCACCACAACCAAGGTAAATAGAAATACAAATGTTACTATTCGTTTGGAAAAAAAAAAATTCTCTTTAAGTAACTGGTATTGTTCTTCAATTTACAGGGATGGACATAATACAGGACTCATCTCCACGACCAATGGGCGAGACAGAACTTGAAGGTCCTCGTGACTTTCCCCTGTTAGCAGAACCAGAGAAAGAGCCTCAAGGCACTGATGCTGCCATTTCATCAGTACCAGAAACAACTCATCCTGATGCCACAACCACAGCTGAACAAGGCCAACCGTCTGCGTGCACGTTATCAGGACAGGTACTACCATTTCCAACCTCATCCTATTTACTCTTTATTACTTGCAAGCATATATTCTCACCAAACTATTAATGTTCACAGGCCGTCGGTCCATGCCAGGATATTTGGGCCGAACTTTCTATTCTTCAACAAGATCTGGACGAAATATCCTCATTGCCTCAAACGCTACATCTGTTTGATGCTGAAACTCAACAAACCTTAACCACCTTCATCAACCTCATTAACACCCCAGTTGAAGAAATCATTCTCCACAAACCTGATGAAACCTTGGCCTGTCTTTCTGCTGTTGTAAACCTCTCCCCTAATCCTTTCAACCCCATTTAACTAAAACAATTGGCCAAGATCATCACGGAATGGCCAACCCTTTCAGAGATGGTTCAGACTTGCTCGAAGGATATTCAAACAAATAAGGATTTCTTAAATGAAGCCCACACCATATCTACTTCACTCAAACTCAGCCAGCAAACCTCTGCAGCCATTCTTCAGCAACACTCAGCACTTGAACTTGAGGAAGCCAAACTCATGGCAGAACTTGCCTCTGTCCGGCAAAGAAAGGCTCATCTGCAGCAGCAACACGACCAGCTTAATCAAGAAGCAAGGATGATGCTCTCCCAAATTAGACATCGTTCTGCATCCATTCAGACAACTAAAGCTGAGTTGGACCAAGCCCAAGCCATGCTGGCAGATGCTCAATCAGAGTGGGGTGTTCTAGCCGTTCTGTTCCCCAAATCCTAGGCTAGTTTATATATGTATTCTTTTGTATTGCACACCTAGGAATGATTTGGAAAGGTAGGAATGATTGCCTTTTTAATGATAAGATTGTTGATGGACCTGAATTGGCTGAGATGGTGAAAGTGAGGGTTGCACTTTGGTGTAAGCAAAGTTATAGAGGCCTACAGTATTCAGTGGACGACATATATTGTATTCTAGATAGTAGCAAAGTCTGATTGAGGGGGTGGTGTTTGGTGTTTTTTGCTCAACCACGACAACGTGGTAACTAGGGTACTACAAGCTCAACTGGATCAGTACTGACTGTAAGGGCCAATGCAACTCCGACTATAGCAAGGGACAATAAAAGACAAGGAAGGGTTTTTGCGCTTATTCCAAGGGACACCAAAAATGTAGAGACTGTGGTTTCAAGTACACTCTCTATTTGTGGGCAATATGCATATCTCTTGATTGACTCAAGGTCTACACCTTCTTTTGTTTCTATGCTATTTGCTCATAAATTGAATAGACCTTTGGAAACCTTGAGATATATACTATGTGCGTCATCACCATCAAGAGGATTTATGATATGTTCATCGATTTACCCTACATGTGAAATTTTACTTGAGAATGCGTCTTGTATGTTGATTTATTGCCCTTGGATATGACTCATTTTCATATTATTTTGGGTATAAACTGGCTATTTAAATATTATGCGACCATTGATTGTGTGTCTAAACGTTTAATATTCCAACCTTCGGGACAAAATGAGTTTTATTTTGAGGGGATAGGTGTAGTTCCCCCACCATACTTAATTTTTGACATAAAAGCATGTAAACTGATTAACAAAGGGTGTCAAGGGTATTTTTGTAGTATTTTTAATGTCCAAACTTCAAATGCTGTTTTAGATGATATTCCAATTGTGAAAGACTTTTCTGATGTGTTTTCAGAAAAGTTGCCTGGACAATTAGTTGATAGAGAAATTGAATTTGTAATTGATGTGATGCCTGGTACTCAACCCATATCCAAAACTCTATATTGAATGTCAACTGTTGAAATGAAAGATCTAAAAGTACAGGTGCATGAATTACTTGATAAAGGGTTCATTCGACCAAGCACGTCACCGTGGGGTGCACCTGTATTGTTTGTAAAGAAGAAAGATGGGAAACTCCGTTTATGTATTCATTACCGGGAACTCAATGAGGTAACTATTAAAAATAAATATCGTTTTCCTTGATTGATGATTTGTTTGTCCAGTTATAGGGGCTCAGGTATTTTCAAAGATTGACTTGAGATCGGGATGACATCAGTTGAAAGTTAAGGCTAAAGACATAGAGAAAACTGCCTTCACAATGTATTTGTTATAATACAGGTTTTAGATAGATAATGGTGAGAACAAGAGGGAATGGATTGCAAGAGTACCTCCAATTGTCTTGATCGGATGGAAAGAATGATGTATGATATGGCTGAAAACCTAAGACAACAACAGCAATGGCAGCAACAGCAACCACCACCCCCACCTCCCCCACCTGTACTACCGGCAGATGACAGAACTATTGCCCTCCCTGGAGAATTCAAAAAGATGAAGCCACCCCTGTTCCATGGGGAGATTGATCCATTAAGGGTTGAGGCCTGGGTATTGTGAATCGAGACACTATTTGAAGTGTTTCCTTGCACAAAGACACAAAAAGTATTGTCACCCGCCTTCACCTAAGAAGATGAAGCAACAAGGTGGTGGATGTTAGTGCAAAATACTAACAGGGGGATTAACTGGGCTCAGTTTGTAGAAATCTTCTATGAGAAATACTTTTCGCAGTGTGTTTAGGATAAAAAAGTAACAGAATTTGAGCAGCTAAAACAGAGAATAAGTCTGTGGTAGAATATGAAGCTCAGTTTATTGACCTAGCACGATTTGCACCGCATATGGTAGGATCACACTGCAAAAAGGCCAAAAAATTCGAGGGAGGTCTCCGTGAACCCATTCTTGATATAATTAATGTTTTGAAACTGCCTAAATATGTTGATATGTTAGACAGGGTTCTTATGTCAAAGGCAAACTTGGCTGCTCGTAATCGGAATTTCAAATGGAGAGGTAAGAGATAGAACTTTGGTAAAGGAGCAACATCATCAATGAGTAGGAAATCAAAATCCAGTAACTCAGGCTCAAACCAAAGTGCCAACTTTGAACCTAATTGTACTACATGTGGAAAAAAGCATTGGGGCGTTTGCTATCGTACCACGGGAGCTTGCTATTAGTGTGGAGAAGTTGGTCACATGGCAAGAGATTGTGACCAACCTTGATAGAATGGTAATCGAGGCACTGCGAGTTCATCTAGATCAGTCCCGACAACAAGACCCAATACAACTCAGGCTACAACACGAAATGATATAAGGCAAGGAAGAGTGTTCGCACTTGTTTCAGCGGATACTCAAAATACAGAGGCCGTAGTTTTAGGTACACTTTATGTTTGTGGCCAAGCTGCATATGTATTGATTGATTCAGGTTCTACTAATTTCTTTATTTCTATGGTATTTCCTGATAAATTAAATAGATCTATGGAATCCTTAAGATACATATTATGTGTTGCATCACTAACGGGGGGATCTATGTTGTGATCATCTATGTATTCTACACATGAATTCGCATTGCTGTGAAGCACTTGCTTCATGGTTTCTTTCAGTTCACCAATGTCGGTCTCAACCTTGTTCAAACGAACATCATCAATCTGTGGTTTCTGTTTGTTATTGACATGGTGTGTGTCAATTGCGTCATCAATGTTGTTGCTTTCCGCTTTTGTTGGATGAAACTCCACCTAACATAGTTGTCAAATCGGGATTCAAATCATAAATGAAAATGGTAATGCACTGAATCGTTAATCGATCTCAACTGTGAATCGTAAAGTTTTGGTCTGCTTTCTTAAGTTGCACACAACATTTGTACTTACACTTTACATATTAAATATATCTAATAAAAATTAATTACTCCATTCGTCTGAAATGGAAAAAAAATGTTGTTGTAAATGATGCTCATCTGGTGTGGATAAAAACTTCACAGTCGATCCCATGTTTACCACTTTACCTTTTCCCAATTACATAAACAAAGAGAAACTTTCAATTACAAACTAACTAATAATAACTGAACGACAATGTTTTGACCTTTTTACAAGGTTAAAAAACCAAAATCTTCAAGCTTTTCCAAAAATCTGACTTCAGGGCTTAACGAAAATTCATTTCGTAACAGAAGTAGTACATAAAATTGAATTTGTAAGGCTACAACATCGTCCACATGGAAACTTCATGTTTTCCCCCCAAAAGTTCGAGTATTTCAGAGTAAATAGGGAGGGACAAACTGAAAATATGACGTACGCTAAGGAATGGGTCACTGTTTGTCGGTGCTTGTCACCTAGTCATAGGAACACATATTCTGTCTGTCACCGTTATCCATAACACAGGTGGGGCAATGCTGTCAAATGTGCAGAACGAATGGGTTGATTACCTCATGTTGCTGCAACATTTGCTTCCTTCCCATAAGTCGCCTCGTCTCCCGTATTTCGGCATCACCCCAATCATTTAGCCGAGGGATGGAGCGTGTAGTAGCCGACGTACTCTTGCAGGGAGGGGCAAAACGATCCAAGTAAAATAGCTGCATTGTAAGGGGGAAAAGATATTTACTATACACTTCCGAGCAAAGTAATCCGTATTCGCTGACAATGCATACAACTTACAACACAATCATATGTATGTGTTTATGTGTCTCGATGGCAGAATCCCCATGCAGCTTTCCGGTTCAAAAGATAAGCTTTTCGTGGTTACAAAAAATGTGGCCCGTACAGGTATATTTGTCATGCTGTTCAATAACAGGTAAGTTTGTATTTCGCAACGACTGTCATTTTATTGAACCATATGCACAGCAATGGATGAAATATGTAATCGGCATGGTACAAACAAACAACGGTCGATTACGTTACCATTAGAAGGAAAACACATCCAGTTGCCTGGCGCTGAAGTTTCATCTTCTACTTCCGAACACCTTTCACAAGGAATTGCAGTGTCACCTTTGCCCAATTACATGCCCCCATACCGGTCACGTCCTTCACGGCATGAACGAACGACAGGCTCAACGCGGTCATTGTGGTAGGACACAACATGGCCCCCAACACGTACAGCGCAAACTTCCTCCAAAACTCGTCATCCCCACCATCAGTCTCAGTCAGATAAACTCTCAACTGGTTCAAAGGAATGATTCCTTTAACAGCTCCAACCTCTTCGTAGATATTGGGATATGCGTCTATTGAACCAGTGAACTGCACGTCATTGCCTTCTGACCGTATACCCAATAAGACATGCACTTCCTCACAGGTGAGCCTCAGGTGACGGCCATGAACAGTCAACGAACACGTGTCGGGATCGAAATTTTGTACCAACCATTGGCACATGTTGTGATCTATACGGGTACACTTTAACCCCAGGAGGCCACCGAACCCAATATCAATGACTGCCTGCTTTTGTGCTTCGTTACACCGGTTCACGATATCAAAAATTGCCTTCAATGATATGCGGACTTGCATTTTACTCTGCAATGTGATTAACGTGAACATTAATACAA